GGATTCTATCCAGCGCACTATACACTTGGGTCAACGTCGTGGTGTTAGTGATGATTTTTCCATACACCTCGAGGAACTGCATCACGAACATGATCTTACTCAAGTCGAAGACCAAAGTCTTGCTTCGGGCGATAATCATGAAGTCGCAAATTCGCTCCTCCAGGTGAAAGTTCTTGAGGAAGATTAACAACACCCCGAAACTTTTTCCCTCCAGGACACCCTTCAAGAAATACTCCAACACGCCCCCGATTAGTTTGAGCGAAGGTCGAAAGTATTCGTCACTCACATCGACCGCAGTTTTGACACACCTGTAGACGTTTTCTCCTAACGAAACCATGATCTTTTTGACTACAGAGTCACAAAAATCCTCGTCGCAGTCAACCGTCGCTTCCAAAAGCTTTGCCAAAAACTGACAGCTTTCGTCGACGACGACGCAATCAGGACTTAAAGTCAAACCAAGAACGTCTTCCCAAAAATTGCACGCCGCTATCCATTCCACGCCGGATTGGTGTTCGAGAAACGACGACAACAACTGTATGTATGACGATTTCAGCGACAGCCGGATTTTCACCCCATTGATCAACTTTATCAAGAAATTGTCGGTGTTGAGACGCTTGAAGTTTTCTTCGTCTTTTAGCAACAAGGTGGACAGTCGGCACGCAAAAGCGACAATAATGGGACTCGGGGGTATCCTTGTGGTACTCCACGTGTTCACAACTTCTACTAGCCATTTCGTAAAAATTGAAACACACCTCGCTTCTACAAAACTGAATTAGCGCGCGCACACAAGTTGTGGTGGAATCTAACCTGCATTGTCTTGCCAGAAACGTATCAACGATTTTTTCCAAACGATGTCGATTTTCGTCGCGAGAAACTTGTCAAGGAGACGTTTCACTTTCAAATTGTACTGTACCGCGTCGATTTTCATCGTGATAATTGACGCACGATCACGAATCCGACTTGTTTATATTTAGTGATAAGTTATCTGGGTTTTGAAATAGATAACGCTAGGTAAAAATCGACTTACTGTTTGATACGGACGTGGAGGTGCGAACCACTTCGAGGGCGACCTTTTTAATGTCCGGGTTGTTGTCGAGCAACTTGGAGTAGAGGAAAGGTCCCAACATGGCGACGGTGGTGTCTGGAGTGTCTTCGACCAACAAGGCCATGTTTGGGGCCATGTAGTGGGCGATGGCGACTCTCATTAGTTTGATTACTTCGAGTACCACCTCGGAAGGCCATTCGTGCAAAGTCAGAAGGTCGAAACATAGCGACAAGACGTAGGTCACTTCTATCCCGTCTTTCAAGACCATGTGAAAATCGTCGACGACCAGTCCAACTAGTTCGATCATCTGTTGGACGTACGACGACTCCGTTATATAAGGGGTCAATTTCTCGGGGAACCCTCTCGTCAGATAGCTAAGATCATTCAAGAAGTATACGAGAGCTTGGAAAATGACCACGGCTTGACTCTTTGATAAGTAACTTCGTGTTTCTTTTAACACCAAGAGAGAGCGTTTACAGATGTTGAAGATGTTGGGGCTTTCGATGACACGGTTGCGCCAGAAGAAGCACACCCTCAGGAACTCATAACAAACGGATTTTAAAATCTTCTGGATAAAATCGGACCGAAAGTCATCTTCCAGAATCTCTTCTAGATTTGCTATCTTCACAAGATACTTTATATCGAGACAAAAATTTGGCATCGCCATAAGGACAACTAGTTGATCCGAAAATAAAACCTGTTTCTCCTTGTACACACTGAGTTGAAAATCGGGGATGTGCGAATCCATCAATTTCCAGTAGAAGAGCCCGAAAGCACACAAGTCGATTTGTTCCAGAAAATCCCCCCCGAACAGTTTCAGGATGAAGTTCTTCTTGATCGTACTAACCGCAGCACTGACTTCCTTCAACCCAGTACTACTAACACGTGTTTTCTGGTACAACTCCAGGAATCTGATCATGAACATAATCTTGGCCAAATCGAACGCTAGACACCTCTTCCGGGCTATCGCCACAAAATCGCTCAACCTCTCCTCCGCCTGAAAATTCCTCAAGAACAGAAGCGGCACTTCGAACGACCCCCTCTTCAAAAACTCCTCCATAATCGCCGCCACCAGTTTCAAAGTCGGTCGAAGACACTCCTCCACCACGTCGTCGCTCACGACCCTCTCCACCTTCACACTCCTGTAGATCCCATCCCCCACCGGCCGCATGATCCTGCGCACCACCTCCTCGCAAAACCTCTCCTCCCCCACCGTCTTCTCCAGAATCTTCGCCACGTACCGCCCACTCTCCCCCACCACGTCCCCGCCGCACCCCTTCAAACTCCACCCCAGCACGTCCTCCCACAGATTGCACCCCATCGTCCACTCCACCCCCGCTTCGTGCTCCAAGAACCCCCCCAACAGCTTCACGTACGCCAACTTCACGCACTCCCCCACTCCCGCCTCCCGCGCCTTGGTCACCTTCGCCAACTTGATGAAAAAATTGTTGCTGTTGAGGCCGGCGAACCGTTCCTCGTTGCGGACCAAAAGGGCCGCCAGACTCAACACGAAAGACGCAACATTGGGGCCCGGGGTGAGCCGTGCGGCGCTCCACGCGCTGACAGCGCGCGCCAGCCAATCGGCGACGGCCGCCAGAGCACGACCTCCTACAAATCGGGGATTAGGTACGCCGACGCGCTAAACCCACAAACTAACCTCGCTTTTCCTCCCACCACAGGTGGATCATCAACTTCTGCAGGTGCTCGGCGGGCACCTCGCACTTTCCGCTGAGGAAGGTCTCGAGGACGCGCTGGATTTTAGACGCCATGTTCGCGGCACGAACGCGACATAAACAAATGAGTATCGCGCAAGCTGAGTCAGCGTGATAGTTTTATCTCGACGTAGATATGTACTTGGAAGTACTTGAGAAATAAATAACAAGGTTATGGTTGTGTGTTAGTCTGGTTATCTTGTATCTACGTGATGTCAAACTTACGGCTTCTGGATGTACTCGTCATGGTACGCATCACCTCCACGGCGGCTTTCTTGACTTGGGGGTCGTCGTCGAGGCTTTTCATGTATAGCAGAGGTCCCATTAGGTCGACGGGCGAGTCCTGGTGATTGTCCAACAAAAGCGCCATGTTTGGAGACAGGTACTTCGCGATGGCCACGTTTATCAAGTTCAAGGCTTGGATGATAATCTCGGTGGACCACCTCGGCAAAGACAAGAAGTCGAAGGACACCACCATGACGTCGATGGCCTCGAAACTGTCCTTCCACGTGATGTGGAACTCCTCGATTAGCAAGGCCAGTACTTCTAGGGCTTGGGTGAAGTACGACACGTCTTCGTCGACGTTGTGGAGTTTCTCGCGCGAGTGTTTAGTGGCGTGGATGAAGTCCTTAGCGCTGTAGATTAGGGACTGGAAGACCGTGATTGCCGCGTCCCTCGAGAAGTACTTCCTCGACTTCTTCACGTGTTGGATGCAACGGTTGACCAAAGGGTACAAATTGTCACGCAGAGTACTGAAGATGTACTTGCGCCAGTAGTTACAAGCGCGGAATACTTCAGGACTTGCGATTTTCGACATCCGGTAGAAAAAACTATCGCGGAACTCCTCACGAATCAGTTCTTTGAGCTGGTCCCTCGTCAAAGAGTGTTTTATCAGAAGCATATTAATCGGAAACAATAGGACTAGAATCAGTTGGTCACTCAACGGAAACACTTTCCGGCTACTGTTACTCGTAACTTGGATCTGGGGGATTTTTTGGTCCATCAACCCCCAAAACAACTGAGCAAAATTAGAAAACTCCACCACGTCCTCAAAATCCCCTTTCGATATACTCAAGATGTAATTATTCTTGATTTTGTCGACAGCCGCTTTAATACTAGACGCGCTCAAACTGTTAGTACCGACTTTGACATACAACTCCACGAACTCCATCACGAACATGACCTTCCCAAAGTCGTAGACGATACTTTCGGTCTTGGACACCACCATGAAGTCCGTAATTCGTTCCTCCAGACGAAAATTCTTGAAGAACATCAACACGACTTGAAAGTCCTTATTGTCTAGCAAAATCCCGTCCAAAAAGTACTCCAACAAGTTCCCTATGGACTTCAAAACCGGGCCTAGGTACTTCTGCGCCGCCGCGTCCGTCGCACTCCGCTCACCCCCTTCGAGACACTTGTAAACACTCTCGCCCAAAGGCAACAAGACGCGTTTGACCACCCCATTGCAAAAATCCTCGTCAAAAGCGACAGTTTTGTCTAGTAGTTTAGCCAGAAACGCGGTACTTTCGCTTCGGACGTCATCGTCTGGAGAGAGAGTCAGATGTATAGCGTCTTCCCAGAAGGCGCACGCCGTCATCCACTCCACCCCCGACTGGTGGTCAACAATGGCTGAAAGTACCCTCACGTACGCCACCTTGATTCTCCCACAACAATCCTGTCTAGCTCTCACCACGTCCACCAACTTAATAAAAAAATTGTTTGCGTTGAGTTGGCAGAAGCGTTTTTCGTTGCGGGATAGCAGCGCCGCCACGTTTAGAGCGAACGCGGCGGCGTGGGGGTGGACACACGCCGCCGTCGTGCTCCACTCGACAACGACAGTTCGAATCCATCGGGACAAAACGGGCAACAAAATCAGCGCAGATTCGACGTCTACAATTTTGAGGTTAGGTTATTGTTGTGACAAGTAAGCACTGACCTGTGTCTTCTTGTTGTCGCAAAACGGCGAGGAACCTCTCCAGGGTCGTACTTTGACTCGAGTACTTCCCGTGGGAGAGTTTCTCGAGTACGAGTTCGCTTTTTAACACTAAAGGGTTCACGTTGGGATGCATTTTATCGCGATGTCGTACTGTTTTGGAACGATGCGTCACCGCTATCGCAGGTGTGTCATCTTTATATAGACGCGGTATAAAACAATTAGTTTGACGTAGGTAATTCGGCTCGTTATCTAGTTTGTGTGTTTATCTAATCACGTTAGTGTGCATGCCTTAACCTATTTGACTTACTGGTACTAGACATGTGGGCTATGGTTCGAACCACCTCGACAGCGGCGCGCTTCACTTGTGGTACTTCGTCGTGGAGTTTGGCGAAGAGTAAAGGTCCTAATAGCGCGATGGTGGAATCTGTGGTTCGGTCCAGCAGGAGCGCCAGATTTGGCGCCATGTATTTGGCGGTAGCGACGTTGATGAGAGTCAAAACGTGCACCACTATGGACGTCGGCCACCGATTGATCATCAAAAAGTCGAACGCTATGGTCAGCACGTTCGTCGCTTCGAGAGTGTCCTGCCAGGTTATGTGGAACTCCTCGAAAAGCATCACCAGGTTCTGGAAAACTTGCTCAAAGTGGGGTAATTCGTCGAGGAAAGGGTCGAGCTTCCTGGGGAAGTCTTTGACGGAGTTGACCAGATCTTCCAAGAAGTAGATGTAAGTTTGGGCTGCTACGATGGCCGCCTTTTTGGAAAAGTATTTTCGGGTGTGTCTTACACGGTCATTGGCGAGGGTACAGATTTGGAATATGTCGGGACGGGGGACGATGGTGTCGCGCCAGAAGTAGCAAGCTCGAACTGTGTCCTGACCCATCATTCCGTACACTTTGTAGAGGAATCTGTCGCGAAATTCGTCTGACAATATCTCTTCGATTTTGTCTTTCTCCCAACAGAACTTCAAGAGGAGGCAGTACGATGGTAGTATTAGGAAAAGGAAAAGTTCGTCTGCAAACGAACAATCCTTTGACTCTTTTAGTTGCAATGGAGGGATCTTCGCTTCTATCAAATTCCACAGAAGTTGGGCAAACCCACTTAGTTCCATGAGACTTTCAGCAGTCCCTTTGGACACGTTCACCATGTAGTTGTTCTTCATCCTCCTAACCGTCGCATTGATGGTAGCCACATTCACACTACCCGTCGCCACCTTCACATACAACTCCAAGAACTGCATAACAAACATAATCTTCCCGATATCGAAAGCCAAACACCTCGCTTGCGCAATAATCATAAAGTCGGAAATCCTCTCCTCCAGGTGAAAGTTCTTCAGAAAAACCAAAACCACGCTGAAGTCCTTCTCCCCAAAATAAATCCCTTCTAGAAAATACTCCAAACTAGTCCCAATCAACGTGAGCGTGGGTTTCAGAAACCTTGACGCCACCTCCTCGCTCACGTCCCTCATGTCACTCGACGCTTTGATCGACTTATATATATTCTCCCCCAACGGAAGCATCATCTTCTTGACCACCCCACTGCAAAACCCTTCGTCCAAATCCACGGTCTTCTCCAAAATTTTGGACACGAAGAGCCTGCCCTCCCTAACGACGTCGTCACTCCCATTTGACAAACTCATCTGGTATATATCCTCCCAGAAGTTGCAAGCGATCATCCACTCGATCCCCGACGTGTGTTCCAAGAAGGCCCCCAGCAACCCGATGTACGCTAGCTTGACGTTCTCGTCACAGGAACTTCTGGCTTTCGCAACGTTAACCAGCTTGATGAAGAAGTTGCTGGTGTTGAGGGCGCAGAATCTGTCTTCGTTTTTCGCCAACAAGGCGACCAAGTCGAGGACGAAAGCGGCAACATTGGGGTGCAAGTGGAGGCCTGAGGTGCTCCACTTGACCACCGCTTTGTGGATCCATTCGGTGATCAAGGTGGATTCTACTTCTGGGAAAGTAGTTAGAGAGGGTTTTACTAGGACGGGTACCAACCTTGTTCTTGGTGGCGCAGAAGGGTTAAGAGTTTGCGCAGGTTGTGGTCGATTGGGGTTCGCGGTTCCTGGTGGAGCAATTTCTCCAGGAGGGTTTTCAGTTTGCGTACGACGACCTCCATGTTGTGTGAGTGCGTGTGTGGTTCAGGTCATGATTTGACAAGCTGTGGCGAACGACTGAGTTATCGACGGAGATTGCGCTCCACGTGATTTAGTGGAATGGGTTCTTCGTGTCTGGGAACTCGTTTCGAGAATACTCACTCTTGATAATTGGTGGCTTGGTCGGAAATTAGATGTAATTACAGTGTCAACATGGACGTCAGCGAGACTTCGTTGTTATTTTTCTTCGTAGGACGATATTGTTTTTAATTACGATGTTTAAGAGATGGGTCACTTGGTGACTTTGACCAAGGTGTTTTATTTTTAAGTATTAGGACTTTTGTTTAGACGAGGTCACTGTAATTTCACTCAGCGTGATTAATTACACTTTGATAAACTATCAAAAGAGTAATTTCTGTTATTAGAAAGCGCAGCACACAACCAACCGGATACACGTGTTTACATCATTAATTTATCAAAACGTAATAAAATTTTGTTTATGTCTTCGAAAATTATATTTAATTTCCCAATTAAAGTTAGATAAGCTGTTGTTTTTTTTTCTTGTTGTTTGTTTCGCGGTATAAAGTGTTGTTTATCGCACCAAAGCGCCCTAAATCAAACCAGAGCACTAACATAAAGGAACCCGTTAACAATAATGACCTCAACCTTGACGAACAATCAAAGCCAAGCGGCGCTTAGATCTAATCAGTGTTTGTCAATCTTCTGTGTACAACGATTCGCTTTGAAACTAAATTGTAGACAGCAAGAGTAAATATTTGAGTAAACATAAATAATCAAAAGGTCAAAACATAACCGATTTTTTTTGTCGGTAAATTCGATCTGTGTACATCAAAAGCAAACACTTTTTTCTGCGTAACGGGGGTCGGTGAGTTCAACGCCTCCGTCAAGATAAATGGTGTTTGTTGAATGTCAATAAATGACAACGTGTCAATATCATGCCATAATTAATCGTGTACGGAAATCCAGTTATGGATGTATCTGCAAGCCCCAGACGCTTCGTGGCACCACGTCATGAATAAAATAATCGGGAGATTTCCGCCCGATTACTTTCCAGGAGGTTTTAGGCGGGAATCTGTTCCGTTTTTTGTCCTCTGGGACAACGCGGCCTCTGACTCTTCCCGGTTGTCTTGCTGAATTATTTCGGGTTGACACAGCACTTTAAATATTTCTCAACACACCGAAAATGCGGATCGATCACTCCGATTGACGTGTCGTGTGGAAGAAATTCGTTTCCGGCGAAAGAGGAAACTCGGAGCCGTTGGTGCATTCATTTGTTTTACACGTTGCAATGCGTTTTGTGTGGGGGAATCACGGCAGTGTTGTCGCTTATCAAAAATCTACCGATTTCTGAAAAGTTGATGTCGAGTCTTACGTAGAATATCATAAAGTTTTTTGATTTCAATGTATTAACTATTACTTTGACGCAGAGGAGTTTCAAAATTCTCAGTAATACAAAATCTATATACAGGGTGTTGAAAAAATGGCGCACCAACTCTATGACTCGTTGTTGAGGACTGTTCATAGAACAGAGAAAAAATAATTTAAAAATTTCTTGGGCCCAAATGTAGAAAATATTCTACGCATATTCTAATTCACTGTTTAGTGTTGTATACAGTTAGTTAGTATCTTGTTTTCATCCACACTTTATAATATAACAAAAAACTAAAAATTTGGGCTAGTATCTGCTAAGACTGATTTTAGCAAATGACGTATCCTCTGAGAAATTTAAACCTCAAGATTGTTTTTAAATTTTTCAGAAAAGAAAAACGGCTTCCAAAATTAACTCAAAAACAAATCAGAATCAGGTCTGAATTTTCCAAAAATAGAACACCAAAGTCCCCCAAAACTGTTTTAAAGAATTTACCAAAAAATCAAGTTCAAGTTTCCAAGAATAAAAAAAATCATCATAATTGAGAAATTTTAGTTTGGGGACTTTTCAGTTTACTCCTATTTATTTTTCAATTTTTGGATTTTATAATTTCTCAATTTTTCAATTTCTCGGTTTTCAGTTTTTCTCTTCAATTTTACGATTTTTCAATTTTTGACTTTTATAAACTCTTTGTCGATTTTGCAATTAATGTTTTTGGTTTTTCAATTTTTCTATTTTTTCAGGTTTCGATTTTTCAACTTCGCTTTTTTGATTTTTCGATTTCTCAATTTTTCCATTCTTTAGATTCTCAGTTTTTGGATATTTCAGTTTTGGGATTTTTCAATATTTCTGTCCTTCGACTTTTCCATTTTTGACTTCTGGATTTTTCGATGTGTCAACTTTTTACTTTTTCGATTTTTAAATTTTAGATTTCTCAATTTTTTGGTATTTTAATTTTTCAATATTGAAAATTTTAGATTTTTCCATTTCTCGATTTTTCGACTTCCCGGTTTTAGATTTTCTGTTTTTCAATTGCCGTTTTTTCAATTTTTCGATTTTTAAATTTTAGATTTTTCAGTTTTTTGATATCTTAATTTTTTAATATTTAAAATTTTAGGTTTTTCGATTTCTCGATTTTTCATTTCAGTTCTTCGATATTTCCGTTTTTCATGTTTTCGAATTTTTCAAATGTTTTGATCTCTTAATATATCGATTTTTCGACTTCCCGGTTTTAGATTTTCTGTTTTTCAATTGCCATTTTGTCAAATTTTCGATTTTTTAATTTTTCAAATTTGACTTTCATAAACTCTCAATTTTTCGATTTTTCAATTAATCGATGTTTTTTCCAATTTCTTGACCTTCGAGTGTTTCGATTTTCCTATTCTTCAGTTCTTTAATTTTTTTATTTTTCAGGTTTTTGATTTTTCAATTTTTCGATTTTTAAAGGTTTCAATTTTTCGACTTCACTTTTTGGATTTATCTATTGCTCAATTTTTCGACTTTTTAGGTTCTCAGTTTTTGGATATTTCAGTTTTCGGATTTTTCAAGTTTTCCATTTTTCAGTTTTTCTTTTATTATTCAATTTTTACATTTTTCAGTTTTGGGATTTTTCAATATTTTGATTCGATTTTTCGATTTTTGGCTTCTGGTGTTTTCGATGTATTGATTTTTTTACTTTTTCGATTTTTCAATTTTTCGATTGCTTAATCTTTCGATTTTTCGACTTCCCGGTTTTAGATTTTCTGTTTTCAATTGTCGTTTTAAATTTTTCGATTTTTCAATGTTTTGATTTCCCGATTTAGTTTTTCTTTCATTTTTCAGTTTTTCGATATTTCAGTTTTGGGATTTTTCAATATTTCGATTCTTCGACTTTTCGATTTTTGACTCCTGTATTTTTCGATGTGTCGATTTTTTTACTTTTTCGATTTATAAATTTTCGATTTTTTAATTTTTAAAATTTTAGATTTTTCGATTTCTCGATTTTTCATTTCATTCTTCAATATTTCAATTTTTCAAGTTTTCGAATTTTTCAAAGGTTTCGATTTCTTAATCTTTTGATTTTTCGACTTTCCGGTTTTAAATTTTCTGTTTTCAATTGTCATTATGTCAAATTTTCTATTTTATAGTCGATGTTTTGATTTTCCCATTTCTTGACTTTCGAGTGTTTCGATTTTCCTGTTCTACAGTTCTTTAATTTTTTGATTTTTCAGGTTTTTGATATTTCAGTTTTAGGATTTTTCAATATTTCATTTCTTCGGCTTTTCGATTTTTGACTTCTGGGTTTTTCGATGTGTCTACCTTTTTACTTTTCGATTTTTCAATTTTTGGATTTTTAAATTTTAGATTTTTCAATCTTTTGATATTTTAATTTTTCAATATTTCTTAATCTTTCGATTTTTCGACTTCCTGGTTTTAGATGTTGTTTTTCAATTTTTCGATTTGTTAATTTTTCATTCCCGATTTATCGAGATTTGATTGTTTTCGATTTATCAGTTTTTCAATTTTTTATTTTGCCCTATTTCGGTTTCTCAGTTTTTCCAGTTTTCCATTTTTTCGTTTTTTTATTTTTCCCCTTTTCCAATTTTTCAACTTTTAACTTTTTGTTTGTCGATTTCTCTATTTTTCGATTTTTCGACTTCATCACTTTTCGATTTCTCGTTCTCTTGATCTTTCAATCTCTCAATTTTAGAATTTTTAAGTTTTTTAATTTCTCGATTTATCGAGATTTGGATTTTTCGATATTTTGATTGTCAATTTCTCAATTTATAAATTGTTCAGTTTTTAACTTTTCGATTTTGACCTATTTCGGTTTCTCAATTGTTCGACTTTTCGACTCCACGATTTCTTGATCTTTTGATTTTTCATTTCTCAGTTTTTCGATTTTCCTGTTTTTCGATGTATCTATATTTTGCCTTTTTTCCGTCGAACATTCGAAAACTTCGGAACGCGAAAAATTGAAAACTCAAAAACCTGATGAATAAAAAAATTCGAAAATAGCAAAATTAAAAATTGATAAATTGAAAAATCGAAAATCGAACGTTGAAAAATCAAAAAATCGAGAAATGGGAAAATCAAAAATTCGATGAAACAAAAATTGAAAAATTGAATCAAAAAATTGAAAATCATAAAACTGAAATATCGAAAAATTAAGAAATCGAAAGTTGAAAAATCCAAAATTTAAAAATAGAAAAACTTTAAATACCTTAGAAATCGAAAACTTGAAGGATTGAATAAATGGAAAAATCAAAAAATCTATGAAAAGAAAAGTCGAAACATCAAAAAATTGGAAAATCGAAAAACCGAGAAATTGAAAAATTGAAACAATGAGAAACTGAGAAATTGGAAAAATTAACAAATCAAAAATCGGAGAAATCGAAAATTCGAAAACAGAAAAATTGAAGAATTGAAAAATGTACTGAAAAATCGAGAAAACGAGAAGCCGGGAAATCAAACACCGAAAAATCAAAAAAATGATAAATCGAAAAATTGAAGAATCAAAAAATTGAAAAATCACAAAACTGAAATTTCGAAAAATTGAGAAATCGAAAGTTGAAAAATTGAGAAATCGAAAGTTGAAAAATTGAGAAATCGAAAATTTAAAAATAGAAAAACTTTAAATACCTTAGAAATAGAAAACTTGAAGGATTGAAAAATCGAAAAATCGAGAAATCGGGAGTCAAAAAATCGAACATCAAAAAGTCGAGAAATCAAAAAATAGAAAAATCAAAAAAATCCTGAAAAAAAAGTCGAAAAATCAAAACATCAAAAAATTGGAAAATCTAAAAACCGAGAAATTGAAAGATTGAAAATATAAAAATCAGTTGATCCAGAAATAGAAAAATCGAAGACTTAGAAACGCCAACAAACGGAAAATGGAAAAATTTAAAAATTTAAATATCGAAAAATCGAAGAATAAAATAACTGAAAAATCCTAAAACTTGAATATCCAAAGATTTAGAAACGAAAGTTAAAAAATCGAGAAATTCAAAAAACGAAAAGTCGA